CATAATTTCAATTAAATAGATATTTTTTATTATTAATTATATTTGGTTACCATAATATCTTATTTTTTAAATACATCATTTTTATTAGTATTAATTTATAGTTTAATTTGCAAAATTAATTTTCGAATTTTAATAAATTAAAAATTTACCGTATTAACATTATATTTTTATTGTTAAACCACAGGTGTCCATCTTCTGTATACATTTCATGTCCTACAAGCGTTCTGGAGGTGGTTACATGATTCAAAACACCATATCAAAAAGGAGGAACATCCTGTTATAATAAATAAAATGAAACAAATCCTTTATGCATCATCTGGCCCTGAAATGAATAAATATTATGAGAAATTCAAGCAAAGCTTTTATAAATATCAACCTTTACAAAGACATTTTGATCTTCTATGGGAGCGACGTCATTTTTGGGCTTTGTCTTTTCGCACTGTACTATCTATATGTGGAAACAATACCAACAATTATATCGAACGAAGCTTTGGTATATTAAAGGATATAATTTTTGCCCGCACTCAAGCATATAATATTGTGCAAGTATTTCAGTTTGTAATAGGAAGCATGGAAAGATTTTATGAACAAAGACTTCTTGGAATTGCTCACAAGCATCCTGGACATTTTTGTATTGCAAAACGTTTCCTATATCCTGGTTGGGAAACGGTAGATACGAATTCCATTAAAAAAACAAGTGTAGCAAATGAATTTTTAGTGCAGAGCACGAGACAAGATAATATTTACTATGTCGTTAATAGTGGAATGGATGTATACACTTGTCCAGTTGGTGCATTCGGTGCTCCCTGCAAGTATCAGAGCGCCATTACTATTAAATATCATATAGCAATGTTTAACTTTATACCTTCACTAACACCCAAAGATCGCATAATTTATTCATATATCGCACTTGATAAGTAATAGCATGAAAATAGAGTATACTGTATATTAAATAATAATTACAAGTTTTAATTTTCTGCATATTATATTTACTATTTAAGTAATTTGGAGATAATTGTAAGGTTTTCTGTAGTTAAATTTCATATTGTGGCTTAGAATTCTGCAAATTAATAGGAGCTATTTGTTTTTTAGATTCCAGTTTGAAATCTTTTAAATTATTTATATACTATGCAATTTAATTATTATTATTTATTTATTTATTTTTTATAATCGTAATTTGCAATTAACAGCTTTGATTTTTTAGATAGTCCAAACTAAGATAATCATATTAATATACAGTATAATGTATTTTCTTTATATATAGGTTATTTTTCTGAGGATCATTCATTTTATACATCGCTATGAACAGAACCTTTTCAGAAAGATTAAGAGCTCTTATTATCAAGTGGCACTCCTAATGAAAGCTTCGATGAAGCTACTAAGTGGAGGTAATATTTGTTGGGATTTATTAGCTATTTGTTTGTATACTTATTATATATAATATTTTTATTTAATTTCATTATTTTATTTAGTAGAGAGTCTAATAATAGAGAGGATGAAGGCATTGGCGATATTTCTATATTTTTAGAGGAAATTAAAATGGATTATGAAAATTCAAGTCCCCAGTTACGCATAGCACTTGATAAATTCGCAGAGCGGTATCATCGAGCAAAATTGAAGTCTATTTCTTGGCTTGTTTCATTTCTTTATGATCTTAATCATAATTCAGACCCAGTAGCTCATTTTAGAAGTGGTTCCGCAATTCATGTTTAAGTAAAATCTGTGAAAAGACGAAAACCAACAAGATTAGACGGTGAAAAGCAAAAGGTTAATAAAGAAAATGAGGATTTGGATCCTCATGTTATTCCTTGCCGCAAGAAGAAGAAAAAAGGAACATAATTTAAGTAAGCATATTATGGAAAACCAACAAAATTGAGTAAGCTTTTATTCGTTAGAGATAATACTAGTTAAGCGATTAAATAGGATATATATATTGATTTTTTTTTTAAGAATTGGTCTTTTATATTCTATAAATAAATGATGTTATTAAACGCGACAGCACAATTAATTCTACCTGGAACAATTTTATTTAGTAATATATAATTTATCGTTTGTTATATATATATATCGGATATATTAAGAAATTATACGTATGATCTATTTTATCAGTGACAAGATAACCAGAAAATATGCGAAGATAAAAAATTGGCTTAGAAGCAACATCTTCAAATACAGTACTCTAAACTGTATAAATAACGCTTAATATAAATTGATTTATACTATCCAATCAGAAGGTGTGTCATGTCAATTGACTGTCTAATAAATATATATTCGGGGCTATAGTAAAGTGTCTGGTGTACATGTTATTTGAAAAATCTGCCGATGATTATCATTGACCAATTTAGAAAATTTAGACCTACAGTTTAATCGAATATTTACTTACACAAATTGACCAAAAATTCAGCATATATGGGAATCCACAGCATTCAACCATAAATGGTGCTACAAATATTTAAATTTGGAATGACGCCAAAATTCGCAAAAAACAATCAAGTTTAAATTTTAAAACTTTGATTATTAAGGATAGTTAATTCAGAGAATGTATTATTCTCACAACAATCAAAATTTATATATATTATACCATGAAAAATAAAAATGTACTATTATTCGAAAATGTATTTAAACACCGATATTTTACTATGGTTATTCTTGTAATTTTCTACCGCAAATTTTAACACTTATAACTTTTGATATATGTTTGAAACATATTTAATAATAATTTCAATCGTAATATTTATACCACTATATATCTCAATCGTGATTATTAATTACCACTTTACCTTTCGACAACTTCGTTAGCAATACAAAAATTAGGAACATATAATTTGAATATTAGTTTAGCTATACTCATACTTATAGCATATATTTTCTTATATTAATATCATATTTTATTTACTGTATTAAATATTATAACTATTGCATATTATATTAAATAAACCGTTTTATTATAAATAAACTATTAAAGTATCTTATCAAGTAAAATATACCGTTGAATAAGTCTTTTGAACATACCATCAAAAGCAATAAATCTTTTACACATACTAGTAAAAGTTATTATCAAAAGTTAACTAGTATACTTAACTATAACCACTACTGGACTAAAGTCGTAACAAAACAACAGAAGTGAACTAACGTGCACAACTGTGTAAAGAATCTAAGAATAGCTACCTTAGATAACATACTATATTGCGACCAAAGCATTAACAATTAGATGATAAAACCAACAATCAAACATACAATAATCGGAAGACAATAAATGAGAATAATCACCAACCTCACGATATTGAGAACAATCCAACTT